CGAGATCTGCTACTTGCGTTTAATGTAGAACGGCCTTTGAGTTCCACTTTTGTGGAAATACGGCTAAAACCAGCGGCTGAAACCGTCGTAAAAAATTACAATAGGATGGCCGCTCTCAGGTTTCTCTCTGGTAGTATACCGTTAGGGTTAGAATCATGAAGGGAATGATTAATCAAAATTCAAAGCTGTTAGAAGAGGTTGCTTAGAAAATTACATAGTTCCCTACTACCGCAATTGATTTTTTTTTGTACGCGTAGTTATGATGACAATAGAAGTTTATGATTGTATTTTAGGTTAGCCTGGACTCCGAAGATTGACTCAAGGAACCATTCGGGATTGACAATTATTTATTATACACATGTTACATACTACATTAATCAGACAACGCATACTATGACGCTTCTTTGGAAATTATTGATCAATTCCGCTGTCGTTCGAAAACCAGGATACGGCAATACTGATATATCAAAAAAGTATTTGATTCCTCTATGCCTAAGGCAAACTACAAAAGTGTCTAAGGAAGGTCGTATGTTTATTGGATTAAGACATTATACAACCAATGCTATTAAAACTGACACTTCGTCAGCGAAGATTGTGCATTCTGTCCAAGTGAAAAAGAGCTCTGAATTGAAGAACTTGATTTTACTCGCCGTACCTGAAAAATGGACTCTAATAAAAGCTATTGCATTCTTGCTTGTATCATCCAGTGTCACAATGGCGGTTCCTTTTTGCCTCGGCAAAGTGATAGATGTTGTCAATACTGTGGAGAAGACAAACATGAAAGAAAACCTTAATCGATTAACTCTTGCTCTACTTGTAGTATTTGTCATAGGAGGTCTGAGCAACTTCAGCAGAGTTTACTTAATGTCTACTGCAGGACACAGAATCACACAGTCTCTGAGGAAAAAGGCATATACTGCTATTCTTCAACAGGAAACAGCGATGTTTGATAAAGAAAGTACAGGAGAACTAGTAGGAAGATTAAGTGGTAAGTAAATGTTACATATTTTGTTAAATTTAGTAACGTTAAAGTATATATATATATATATATATACATATAAATATCATGCTCAAAATTTTCTTCATTTTATTTTCTCTTGATTTATTTTAGGAGATACACAACTAATCAGTTCTGCTGTTACATCCAACATATCAGATGGCTTACGTTCTGCTATTATGGCTGTCACGGGTGTGTCAATGATGTTTTATGTGTCGCCGTCGCTTGCCTTGTTGGGTTTAGCTGTAGTACCGCCCGTTGCAATCGTCGCTGTTATGTGGGGACGCGTTTTGAAAAGAATTTCCAAGGATCTGCAGAGCAGTTTTGCGGTGCTTAATTCAACGGCGGAAGAAAAAATCAGCAATATTAGAACTGTCAAAGTGTTCGCGCAGGAAAAACGCGAAATAGATAGATACAACGACAAGCTGCAGGATGTTCTCAAGATGTGTTACAAAGAAAGTTTGTACAGAGGGATGTTCTTCGGCATGACCGGCCTCTCCGGTAACGCGATCGTTCTTTCGGTCCTTTACAACGGAGTGTTCATGGTTTCCAACTCCAGTATAACAATCGGAAGTTTAAGCGCCTTTCTGTTATACGCAGGATATGTGGGAGTGTCTCTGAACGGACTGTCTTCAGCATATAGCGAATTAAATAAAGCTCTGGGTGCGAATGCTCGCCTGTTCGAGTTTATTAATAGACAATCGCTCATTCCTATTGAGGGCGGACAAATTTTAGAAAAGGAATTGTCGGGGAACGTGACGTTCCGAAATGTTTTCTTCGCTTATCCAACGCGGGAAACAGTGGCCGTGTTGAAGGGATTTAATGTGAATATAGAAAAATGTTCCATGACAGCTATAGTCGGTTCCTCAGGCTCTGGCAAATCCACGATAGCATCGCTTTTGTTAAGGTTGTACGATCCTATTGAAGGATCGATACTTTTAGATAATCACGATCTCCGTTTACTCGATCCTACGTGGGTAAAATCACAAATTGGCGTCGTTTCTCAAGAACCAGTTCTCTTCAGCGGGTCAATAAGAGAAAATATACTGTACGGAGTGGAATACGCGACGGATTTCGAAGTGGAGGAAGCCGCGCGACTAGCACATGTGTTGGAGTTTACGGAAAAAATGACCGACGGATTAGACACGTTAGTGGGAGAAAGAGGCATTACACTCAGCGGCGGACAACGTCAGAGAGTTGCCATTGCTAGGGCATTAATAAAGGTAATTTATCAAGCGGAGTAAGAAACAATTGTTGAAAACAACAATTAGCATGCGTTATCCTTTATTTTTTTCTTTTTAGAAACCGAAAATTTTGATATTGGATGAAGCGACTAGTGCCTTAGACGCGGAAAGCGAGTATTTTGTTCAAAAAGCTTTAGAACACGCTATTCGCGGGAGGACCGTAATAACGATTGCGCACAGACTCAGTACAATAAAGAACGCTGATAAAATCGTGGTGCTCGACGGTGGAAAAGTAGCGGAAACCGGCACCTACGACGAGCTGATGAATTTGGAACACGGTCATTTCAAAAAATTAGTGAAACATCAAGCTTTTATGTAGAATAAATGTACAGAATGTCGTCGTATACAAATGAACAATTGTATAATTATTTATCGACTCGCAATTGTACATATATGTACATATGTATCATATAAATATATTTGTATGTATATTTTAAATATATAAATATCAAAAACTTAAAAAAACTTGACAGAAAAATTTTTTGCATCTGAACTGGAAATAAAAATAGGAGTGTGCGAGATGCATATATATATATCTATATATTTATACATATATAGTGTATATATATACATAATAGATATATTTTTTGTTTACATATCAAGTGCTGTACGCGTTTATTACTTTTATAGAAAGATACGTAACATTTTCGCGTAACATTTTATATAGTTATGAACGGCGAGGTATTTATGGATACAAACTATTATATCGTGGCAGCAATGTGATATCGATCTTATTTTTGTTCTTATTTTTTTATATTATATATATACATATATATATATATATATATATATATAACAAGGTCAGGTACATACTACGAATAAAACATATATCGACAATCCTTTTTATATATATTTTCTTATAAAATAATGTACAAGCTATATTGAAATATCCACATTCGTGTGTGTATGATTTGTTACTAAGTCTATATTTTATATATAATTTTTTTTAATCCTTAAATTAATGTATCCCATTCCTACAATATTTATCTAATAACGTTTTTTTTTTTTCCATAGATTCGCATCGAATCCGAATGAGCTCGAAAACACTTTGTGCAGATACGAATAAAGCGGTTTGAAACGATCCTAATAGATCTCTTACCACGTGTCCGATCAATAAGAATATAAATGTTAATAATTTGCGATGGAAGCTGTTTCGGGGATTTTTTGTTCCGATCAGAATCTGTAGACAATTTTAATGTCGAACTATTTCTTGTTCATTTTTGTTTTGGGTTTTTTTTAGCGTACATCAAACATAATATACGAGAAAGAGAATAATACTATATCTTTTGATCACAAAAAAGCTAATCACACTTAGGTACTTAAAATATCTTCCTACTCTTTTCTCTTCTGTTTTATATATATATATATATGTAATAATTATCATTGTAAAGAAATACGATTTTGTTTGACGACAAAGAAACTATAAAAGAAAAGTCTTGCAATAATTTCAATTGTAGATCGTACGTATGTGTGTCCGTCAATATACACGTATGTATACGGTCAAAATCAAACAAAATTTCATCGACGACTTTTTGAAGCAACATTGTTCCAACATTTCCAAGATGTTGTCACGTGTAAATATGTAGTTTTTTTCTCAATGTACATCCGATTAATCTCAAACACTCGTATCGTACTAAATAAAGTAAAACCGAATGATCCGAGATTTACAACAGAAACTTAGCATAAGGCCGTGAATATAAACGAAAATTTATCTTCCGTTTGTTTTCCAGTTATAAGGAGTTTCTACGTCTTCTCGGAATCTCTATTACTCTTTCGTACGCGTTATTATTTCAAAAACATAAATCATCAGATATATTTGTCCGATATGCAATATACACAGTTAGTATAGTTATAGGCACAACCTTATTCTAAGCAAGTATCTATGGTATATTTTTTTGTATAAATATCCATATTGAAATGCTTACCAAATTTGGCTTCTATACACAAGGTGGTATTTCGGTATTACAATTTTTTGGGGGGAAGGGGAAGGGAGAGTTTTTTCTTGTAGTAGGCAGTGTTCTTTTTTTTCTTTCTTTCTTCAAAGAGTTAGAAAATTCATTTGAATAAATCCCTTTATACAGACGTAGACGACGGCAAATTTTTTACTCAAACTAACGAAAAAACTGTCATAGCGTTGAAAATTTCGAAACAAGAGACTATTAATTTCGTTAAACTTAAATTCCATCCCTAATTGAGTGTTATGAAGAAATTAATACTCATACCACGTTTTTTTGTTTTTTTTTGTTTTTTGTTTTTTTTCAGAAGAATCTTGTCTATGCACAAAGATATTTATGTGCTGCCTCGTTTGACATCTTCAAAACAGATATCAAATATCAAGCCAGAAATTGAGAAAGGGAGACATGCAACATCACCACACATCACTTGATTAGATAAGTCAAGATTAACTCTTCGGCAAATCCTCCGTCGTTTCCTGTTCCATCGATTCGTCCTGCGTCGACAACGACTCCTCCTCTTCGACCTCCATCAGTTCCATTGGGTCTTGATCCTTTCGGCACTCTATTACAGAAGACTGATTCTCTTTTATACACGCCGTCGCCTGATTGCTTTCCATAGTTTCTAAATTATCATCTTGAACGCTTGTTCCCAATTTGTCCTCTTTCGGAGACGAACAATTGCCATTATCGAGATTCTCTGCCATCTCGACATTAGGCGTGACAAGATCGAGTTTTTCTATTACAGACATTACTTCTTTGGGTTTCTCTACGACGCTCATCGGTTCCGATTCCATGGATTCCACTAAAGCCGTTTTATCATTGGAAATTTCCGTCATTTTCAAGTTGTCCGAATTGATTTCAGGATCTCGCACTTCTTCTTGTCTATTATTGTTACTGGAAGATACAAGTCTGAGAATCTCGGAAGCTTTATCTGTTCCATCTGCGTTCTCGGTGTTTTGGTTTACAGACTGATCGTGTACGAAACTCTCTTTGGTAGAGACTGACTCTTCCTTGGAGAACGTGTCGATCTTCTCAGATTTAAATAAAGCTTCATTACTCGATACAATAACCGCAGTTGCGCCATCGTTCAATGTAATTGTACTATCTTTCTTCGCGACGGACTGAGAATCCACAGATACTGCTGTTTTCGTATCTTCATCGCTCTTAGAATGCAAATTCTCTTCATTTATCTCTTCGAGAATCGATGTTGTCTCCTCCTCCGATTTGTCCGAAATTCTTTCCTCAGCAACACTTCCGACGTTATTCGCCAAAGTGTCGGATCTCATCTCAGCATCGGTTTGTAACAAACTTTCATTCAATCTACTCTCGTCGCGAGACATCTCGTCCGAGTGAATGTATTCGGAGTTTGTCTTGGTCGATGTGCTTTCCTCGCTCTTCACGGAATGTTCAATTCCCTCTTCCGGATTGTCCGCCGTTGATGAATCTGATGATTTCTCGTCAGACTTGTCCAAGCACTTGTCGCCATCGTCGCTTTCGTAACGTTTTGCCTGAAAAGCAGCCTGTAATTTACGCGTGGTATCTGTTGTCAACGGTATTACCGTCGCTACTACTGTTACCGTCGTGGTCGATGCTGATGTTGAAGTTGTCGATGGTGTTGTCGTTGTGGCTGTTGTTGTGGTCATAGCTGTTGTCGCGACGGTCGCCAGCTTCGTCGCTTCGACATCTTCGTTTTCCAGCTCTAAATTGCTTTGCGAATTAGTGTTTTCGTTTATAATCGCCTCGGTTACATTGGTATTACCAACGGAAGTGTCGCTGGAAACAGTCGCAACAGTCGGCAGACTGTGCACTACCAAACCAGCTGGTACGGTCGATACTGGCTCATGTGTCTGCGAAGCTAAGTGCGATATCGTGGAAAAGTCTGAAGCAGTGGAGGCGTAACTAGGTGCAGCAATCTCTGTTCTTGAGACAGCTTGTTCCAACTTCTCTCGACTATTCTCATCTGCGCTGAATACGTTTTTAGCCAGAGGAGAACCCGCAGTGGGCATGACACTGCTGTGAAGCAGCGGTGGTTCATTTTCTACAGTGTGCACACTGATAGTGACAGTGGAATTGCAATCCTTCTCCCAGTACTCCATTTCAACATCCTGAGAGGTCTGTTGCACCGGCTGTGTGGTCTGTGAGGACTGGGACAGTGCTTGCGTTGCCAGTGGCTGTGACTGCGAGGGTGATGGTGACGGTGGTGGCGGTGGCGGCTGCTGCTGAGTGATCGAGGCGGTGTCCTCTTCGACGGATCCGTTCATCATGCCGTCGCCGGTTTCACCGCGTCTCGCTATTGGTCCGGGTTCCCGCGTCGAGACAACCAGAATGTTCTTCTCGATGGCGCGCATAAACTTGTCGACGCGATTGTACTCCTTGCGCGGGGCAGTCAGCAACTCGCATATTCGTTGCACTGTGAACGGCGCGTTGGCGAACGACTCCAATCTCTCGAGAAGATTACTCTTCATCGTGTCGTAGTTGAAGTGCTCGACGTTCGGACAGGGCGCGAGTTCCAGAGTAGGGCAGTTCTCGTAAAAATCCGTCATCACGCGAGTGAGCTTTTCCCGGAATAGCGTCTTGATCAACGACCACTGATACACGGGATCGCCCGTTTTCGCGACCCAGCACAGATAGTCCTCCAGCTCCTGCGGTATCACCGTCGGACGCATCTTCTGGAACTCGTCGAGCGCTTGCAACACCTCCTCCAAATTATCCATCTTCCGCAACCGCCACCGCACAACCTCCGCCAACCGATTTACCTCGCGTTTTCGACCAACTGTTTCGATTGTCTATGTTACCTGATACGTAGCGTAATTTCAAGAAATTCCAAGAAAAGAGTTTTACGTCACGAAAAACAACCAAAGGACCAAAAACGTAAACTAGCAAACACGCCGGCCACAAAACAGCAACAATGAGAACGACAGGAGGGAGAATCGCAATGCTGCCAACTGAATAAGGTTATTAATTTTCGACGGTCGCTCCGGTTTTTTATTGGCTGGTGAGTCATTAAATTAATGGTTCAATTTTCAACGGATCGCAACTGACACTACGAAATAAATTTGATTGGTTGGTTTGGTGCACCGTGAACGCGCACGCGCCAATTCCGCGATATACATGTATGTACAAACATATGTACATGTGGTACTTATGTGGATGTGTATATTGCGGCGGCCAATTGTACGAGGAAAACTCGGTAAAACTCGCGTGCGCAAAGAAGAGTGCATCGCGTGCGCCGAACGCGATTTTTTTTTTTAGTCTACTAACTGATAATACATAGAATAGTTGTGAAGAATATATATTCGAAATTCTGGATGTTTGCATAGAACTCGTATCGTACTTGAGTCTTAAACAACGTAAAATGGCCGCAGTACACTGTTTTTATCAAACGTTTTGATTAAACTTGTGCAGTTCGTACGCGTATTTGCATGTATGGTTTTCTCTGTCGTTGTTTGTTAGTTCGATTAACTGTTAACTATTAGACGCCAATCGATTGCAATCATGTCATCAAAGGTGAGAATGATACACTACTAACTTTGCATTTTTGCGTTATCATATACATATATTGGCAGAATTTGATCAGGTAATCCAAAGAGATGAGGAAAACAACCGGTGTAATGTTGGCTTTATGTGTATTACATTTGTGTTGAATTTTCAGAGAAAAATTAAAATTACGGAGCAAGAGATGAATTACCGGAAAAAACATTTTCATGGTAAGTTGAAAAAAAAAAAAAAAAAAAAAAACATGTAATTTGTGCGTCATGTTTTTCTAGAATTAAAATACAAGTAATGTCAGTGTATCTTAGTAAGTCAAGTGTATATGTAATAATAAGTCTGTATAACAAATAAATTGGTTTTACATAAAAAGTTTTAGTTTAAAATATCACATTTTGTGTATGTTGTACTTATAGAGATTAGAATTGCTAAAACAAGATTGCTAGTATGCACTTCCTGTGGCAATGAGTTAAAAGTTGAAATGGATCGAGTCTTTTCTCATTCAGTGATGGGAATATTGCAGTGCAAGGTAATATATATGACAGACAGATATGTAGTTTTCTTAAATCTTTGTTATATGCATGTATTTTAAGATTTGTGGATTATAATAAATTTTATATATTTTAAATCTTTTTTTTTTGTACAGACATGCTGGGATTACTTTAATGAGGTGCATAACAAATCTGAAGGAAAATATTGCTATATATGTGGCCATAATAAAAAATTATACGAATGTGGTGATAAAAATTGTGATTCCTCATTTTGTAAGGTAAATTCAATTGATTCACCTAATTTATTTACATGTTTTTATTAAATCTTTAATTTAAAAAATGAATTTTTACTCTATTCTTTGATAGACTTAGATTCTTGCTGTTGTCAATTCTTGTTTGTTTTTTAGGGATGTTTGAAAAGGAACGTGAATCGAGAACTGTTGAATGCGGCAGACGATGATTGGAAATGTTGTATATGTAATCCTAAACCATTTTGGGAGCTGAGAGCTGTGTGTTCTACTGTAATGGATAGTATTGTGTAAGTAAAATTTTATAAACTAAATTGTGTAATAGATATAATTTTGTTTCTATTTTTATGGCTGTTTTTTATAATGTGTATGGAATGTAAATATATATACATATATATATATATATATATATATATGTATGTATGTATGTATGTATGTATGTATATCATTTGTTATATATTGGATTCCCGGTTTACGCGGAAATTTGCAACTTCCGATTCCGGTTGTAAGGTCTGTTCTACAATACAGTCGTAAGCTGTAAGTCATAAGAAATTGACCAATCACAATCGATTATTCTTCTGTGATTTGTTTGTAATTGGTCAATTTCTCACGACTAACAGCTTACGACTGTATTGTAGAACAGGACCTCGATTCTTGAACAATTTGCGCATACAAAAGTCTATAGTACATGTGACATTAACAGTATAGTTTCGTATACGAAAGTTTTTCAAGGATTAAGGCTCAGAGCCTTCCAACTCGCGCACGACGTGCGGTTTACGGCATAAGATTTCTATGCAGTCACGTGATCAGTTGGAAGGCTCTGTCGTAGAACAGGCCTAATCCGCGTAAACAGTGTAGGTTGGTAGTACGAGATTTTTTTTGGAGGTTAGAGTGCTCTAAAACTCTAGTTTCGGTCACGTATAATATAGAGTTTCGGTACTTACGCATGCTGCGCACGCGTGTTTGAACTGCGTAAATTGGGGATTGCGTAAAAAAAAGAAACTGGCGTCGGGCCTTAATAGTCACGTAAACCCGCGTAAAATGAGTCCCGTATAAACCAGGAATCTAATTGTATGTAATAAAGATAGAAACTTTTCACTAATTTACTTAGATGTCTAAAAGTCGCATGTGTCAATGAAGTTAAACTTCTCACATAGCATGTGCTTTAATGATTGATGCTGTTAGTCCGTTCTGTTCTAATATAATATATTGTTAGAAGAAAACTGGTAGGACGCAAATACATGTAAAGAGCAAGACATGTGAAAGAAAGAGAAGAGCAAAATAAAGTCTATCGCATTTATCGCTACAGGACTGGCTGACAGATACTAAACTGTTTGATAACGACGATATTAAAGAAGAACGAGAGACATGCATGTGTATACTTTCGCGTACGGAAGAGGAGATAAATACATATGAGGAATGGATCTTCTGTTTCAGAAAAACTAACAGGAAAAGCAAGATGAATAAACGCACTCTGCCATCACAGAAACTACGATTACAAAAATCACAAGAGATAAGAAAGACTCTGGCGGTTTTGTGTGATGACGATGATACCGATTCGAGTGGAAGTGCATTTGTCGCTACGAGAATGGCACAGAAAACAAATAATACAAGCTGTCAAATAAAACAAAAGACCAGTTCTGTTCCGCCCAAACAATTAGTAGAAGTTGAAACGAGTTCTTCCGATTGTTCAATAATAAGCGAGAAGTTGGCTACTTCGCACAAACAGAGTGCATTTAAGAACGGAAGAGATACAAAATCGATTAAACGAAAGGAACAGGATTCCAGTTCTTCGGAGGAAGAGACCGCATCGAAATCGACTGTGAGAGATAAAATTGCGTCTAAGCAAAGACACGCAATCAAGTCCAATGTTAGGATCGAAAAAGAGGTGAAAAATAAAATAAATAAACGCAGTTGCACTGAATCTTCCGACAGTGAGTCTGAGGAGAATAATTCCACGAACAAGATATCAAATGCGCGCAAAGGTCTTCCAAAGAATACTGTCTATCAAGACAAAAAAAGAGAAATTAAATCTTCCAATAAAAAGACTAAAGCCAGAGCGAAAAAACATTTGGAGTCGACGAGCGAATCTGAGGACGAAGATGTCGAATACAAAAGGAAACAAAGCACTGGTAAAAGTCGCGTTAGGGTTCAGAACGATGAAGAGTCGGATGACAGTTCCGGCAAAGAATTTCAGAAGGAAAAGCTTCAGAAAGTACATCGTAGTAAATTCTCTCTGAAAAACTCGACGGATTTGGAAGTGGATTACACGAAGACACCGGTTTTAGGAAACAACACGAACAATATCAATGAGGAATCCTGTCAAAATCTCGACGACGCAAAACAGATTATAATAGAGTGTAAAAAGATGTGTTCGAACTTCAAAATGCACATAGAAGCTTTGGAGCTGCAATATAAGAACAAGGATGATGAACGGCTTATATTGAAGACCGTGGAGAAAATGAGTAAATTAAAACAGATAATAGATAGAAAATATACGGATTTGACGACTATTTATCAGTCGTGGAAGAATCCGTCCGCGAAGAAACCGCAGAAAAAGTCCACGCGAGAGAATCTCACGGAAAGCGAAGAATCTTCGGAGAAATCGAATGAAGAACGTGTAGCGGTTGAGAATAAACCTTCTATTGCCATGAACGAACAAGAAGAGAATACCAATGTTTCCGAATGCGACAGCGATCAGATATTTTCGGCGGACGAATCGAGATCGTTGCAGAAGAAGCGAGTGGTTGAAAACGAGATGAATACGCCTTCACGTGCGGAGGATAATCCAAACGGCGTTGATGCTGAGACTGATAGCGAGGATATATCGTTGACGTATAAGGATCGTGACGATGAGACTCACGCAGATTCGCGAGATGCTTCAATCACCACATCGACAGCGTTGGACACTTCAAAGAAAATTAATACACAATCGGTTGAACAATCAGAAAATGTCGAAAATCAAAATAACAAAGACTGTTCGGCAGATGCAAATACCGAGTCTGACGATAAAAGAACAACGCCCGTCGCTGAGACTTCCAATAGCGAAGTCGAATGTTCTCCTTTGAGAAGTGGTGTGAAAAGTATAACGTTGCAAAATGGCAAACAAGTTTTCGCAAATGAAGAGCACGTTCTTAATACATCGGCGGATATATTCGAAACATCTTGCGAGGTTGTCGAGGATGCGGAAGAGGTGGAAAACAAAACGACAGAAACACCAGAGAGAAATGATGCGGAAACAGATCGTAACAAAGAGATTTCTTCATCGGAAACATGTAATAAAAAATCTTCATCTGAAATCAAATCTTCGAATAAAGAAGCTGCTTTGCTAAATGAAATTCCAAGTGAAGAAACCAAAACATCTTCATCTTGTTATACCGAGAAAAACGAGAAAGATGTGTCGGACAAAAACACTCAACTAGTTAACAAAAAGACTGACAATAACTCGAAAAACACTGACGCGTCAAGCAGAAAAAAAGTCAATAACGACGAATTTCCCGACGATTCTGAGGCATTAGCGAAGAAAAATTTGCTAGAATCAGATTCTGATTCGTTGGAAAATGCATCTTCAAATACAGAGATTAATACCGCACCTGAGGATATGATAAAAGACTTTATCGATCAGATCAGGAAGGAGAAAGAAACGAAACATAAAAACTCCGATGACGACGACAGCGATACCAGTACGATAATCTTATCGCCCACCAAGAAACGAATGAGTGCGGCGAAGGAAGCTGATACTGAAGTTACATCTCAAGCTGAGCGAGACAATTCGCCGATTAACAAGTCGAACGAATCGATTTCCTTGGACGAGGACGCCATAAAGGAACAAGCTGCAAAGAAAGAACTTTTGAAAGCCAGTACCGACGAGTCTGAGACCGCCGAATCGTCGTGTGATTCGCAAGAAGTGATTCAGAAAAGCGAATTATCTTCTTCTGCCGAGAATATAAAGGCAAAAAAAGCACTTCTGGCTTCCAATAGTGAAAACTCTAGTGTCGAACTAGCGTCGGAAACGGAGACACGTGTTTCGAAGAATTTGAAACGCACTCACGAGCCCGACAGCGACGCGGAATCAACGAATGTCAGAACGAACAAAAAGCGATTGAAATTCGAGAAACATCGTTATTACAAAAACAACGATGACGAGAAATTACGAATGTCATGTGAAGTTCGTTTAGTACGATTAAGCGAGAGAGTGCTTAAACGTCACTCCCGCGCGTTACAAAAATCAAGAGAATATCTGGAACAAAAGGCACTCAAAAGGTATAAAAAACTTTCTCTTAAACCTTTATCTATCGTCTTACATCGCTTGAAGTAATTTACATACACAAAGTTTGACTTAAATGTGTGTTAACACAATTTATGTATTATAAAGATTTTACGACATGATGTAAAGGTCACGTTAGAAATACAATTCAATTTTTAACTGTGAGAAATTCCGAAATTATACTGATTATTAAAGTAAAACCAATCGAACTTGCAGATTACAGAAATGTTGTAATACAACTGTAGAGCAGTTTTTTTTTTGAACATAGAATATTGTTGTGTTAGCTAGCTGTTTGAGTTTTGTTTTTTTTTTTTTTATCACTCGGGAATGGTTAACGTGTTTTGTCTCGCTGTATAGCAGTGTCGTGCATAAGTTTGATATCGCAAGAAATTGAACGTAGACTGTATTCAGGAGAATCTAGCGCTTTGTGTTTATTACCTGCGATTAACCTATTCTATGTATGCAAATGTGAAAGCATATGCCGATGACGACCATTAGTCACAAAGTGCTTACTAAGCTTGTTCACTCAGTACATTGCGAACTAAAGATTACTTTCCATCTTTGTATTATAAAAATTTCTGTAATTTGTTGTCAAAAAACGTCAAAATAGAAAAATGTCTTACTTCAAATGTAGTGTCACAAATAAATAGTATAATTTTACAATATACATTATTGATCACACATTGTGAATTTTTTACTGCACATTAATACGCAAAATTTAAATCAATTTTCTTCGTTTTGTTGCGATAAAGGTTAATTGTCATGATTGTACTCGAGATTTAAATGAAATAAAATGTAATGAAATTTAAATCGAAAATTTTGATGGTTCAAATGTACTGAAAAATAATGACATTTATTGCGTCAATACATGTGTTACGGTTGCGATATATTATATATCTTTCATTTTTTGTAAAGAACGTCATTGTAAACTTAATTGTTTTACACAGTTTTGCTTCATGCAAAGAAATTTTTATTTTTTGATCAATAAATTGTTTGTAGTAAATTCACTGTAGTTATTATCCAAAGTACCTTATTTCCATATTGTCCTTTACAGTCTTACTAATTTGGCTAAGCTCGAAAAGAAACGCAAGAACAAAACGGGAGTAGATTCTAACACGTCAACGGATGAAGATGGTGATGCATTATCAACCGCAAAAAGCTCGAATAAACAGCAAACAGAAAAACAAACATCTAAGGAAGAGTCTTTGATGGACTACTTAAAACAAATAGAAAACGGTGAAGTTTCGATAACTGCAGAAACTGATTCCATTTCTGACGAATTGATTCAAGTAAACGGTATAGTCGATCAGCCAGTATCTAACGAAGCTTTACTCTCAGAAGCAAATAGAATCGCGAAAGAGAATCTGTTAAACTCACCTGATTCATACTCTGGTAAGCAACTCTGCTCGCTAAAAATAGAAAATAATTATTATCACGCATGAAATTCCTCTCAAAGAAAGGAAATGTTCAAAGCATGTATCATTTTTTTTTTTTTTTTTTTTTNTTTATTTAAAAATCAAATATTTATGCGGCGCAAAAAAGATTGTTTTCTGAAGTAGATATTTTGTTATTTACATTCTTCTAGAAAAAGAAGTGGAAAGTGACAATGATAATAAAAGTAATGATGATGAAGATGGGAAAACCGGTGATAAACAAACTAAACGTCTGAAGAAATCTGAAGAGGATACTTCAAAAGAAGATAGTGTAAGAAATTTTCTAACGATTCCTAATGTGTAAAAATCGTAGTCTGAAGAAAACGAAGAGTGCGGGCCAAAGAAAACTTTCTACTTTATTTTGGAATTGACCGATTAAGTGATATTTTTAACAAAATACATAGGAGCATAGACTAGTTTTCACAATCCACGTAGTATACAAATAACAATTGAGTTTTGTTTGAAATATAAAGATAGAATTTATTGTATTTTGAATCTATTATCAGATATGTGCAATGAGAAAGGAAAGGAATGTAATTCTCTTGTTTTAGGATAAGAAAGAAAAAAGTAGTTGGAGACGAGATAAACTATTGACAATGAGATTCTCTGACAGTGATTCCGAGGCTGAAAAAGAAAAATGGAAAAAGAAACAAGAGAAAACGGCGGAGAGCCTGGATAAGGATAAGTAAGTGTGTTTTATCTCATTTCTTAAATAAAAAATCAATAAGCAATTTTTGTAATTTTTAATCTTCAATTAAAAATCTTTAATCGTTTTCAGTAATTCCGAAAACGAGGAAACTCGCCGCAAAATGAAGAAGAAGAAGAACAAGAGGCGGAGGATTCTGGATTCTGATTCGGATGTCATACTGACGGACTGTAGTTCAGATTCGGATTCCGACACTTCGGAACAAAATGACAAGAAAGACAAGGATAAACAAAGAAAACACAAACGCGGCAGCGTTTCCTTAGATTCGGATTCTTCGCTCGAGGAGAAAAAGTAAATTGACCGAAATTTAGATTTATTGAATTATTTCCTGTTCAATTTTAATTTGTGTCTACAACGTTTTGTAATGTCGCATTTTAACTTGCTGCAGACCGAAAGTGAAACGGAAACGAATCAAGAAAATGGCATCCGACAGCGACAGCAGTGACAGCAGTGTCGAGGAGCTGAAGAATTCACAGGGATCCACACCTGGTAAAAGTGGTCGAAAAAATATTCGAAAAGTTCTCAAGGACAAACAAGTGGCGGAAGACACGAAACTGGCCGCCAAGGAAGAAGAGGAGAGACTTAAGCGTATCGCCGAGCGCCAATCTCTGGTGCGTTTCTCGCGAGACTATTATTGTTTATTATTGACGCGTACACGTCGAACAAACACACTATCTTGTTTTTTCTTATCTTAGTACAATAATATGTACGAAATGAGGCTTGCGGGCGAAGAGAAAGTGGATAAGCTGGTTTTGGACTTCAATACCGAGACGAAAGAGGAGCTCGTTACCGTACATGAGGAATTGGTGAAGCGACTGAAGCCGCATCAGGCGGAGGGCATCAAATTCATGTGGGATGCTTGTTTCGAGTCTCTCGAAAGAACAAAGACCACATCGGGATCCGGATGTATTATCGCGCATTGTATGGGTCTGGGAAAGACGTTGCAAATAATCGCTCTTACGCATACACTTCTGACACACGAAGAAACAGGTATTAAAACTGTTCTGGTAGTTTGTCCTCTGAGCACAGTGCTTAATTGGCGACAAGAATACGAAACGTGGCTGAAAGACTTGAACGAGGACGTTGATGTGTACGAATTAACGAGGTGAGCAGAATACTCGGATTTTTTTATCAGTCTATTATTTTTGTTTAAAGTCTTTATTTAGGTGTTACCGCTCACAGTTTATGAATTTGACAAGTGATTCTGATTGCAAATAAAAATGTTTTGAATCAGCAGAATTCTTTCCCCAGGTTTAAAAAGAATTTCGAAAGAAAATGTCAGCTTCAGCATTGGCAAAGAACCGGCGGTGTGATGATCATCGGTTACGAGATGTTCCGTAATCTTTCGACCGCGAGCAGAGTGCGCAAAAACATGAAGGAAGCGATTCAACAATGCTTGATCGATCCAGGCGCGGATCTGATCGTCTGTGATGAGGGCCACTTGTTGAAGAACGAAGACACCGCGTTGAGCAAAAGCATGAGAAAAGTGAGAACCAGGAGACGCATAGTGCTTACCGGAACGCCGTTGCAAAATAACTTGATAGAATGTGAGTGTAATTTGTAGAAATAATTTTTGTATTTAATTACGTAAGTAAGTTTTTGAATTAATATCTTTTTTTTTTCAACTTTGTTACACGCAGATCACTGCATGGTACAGTTTGTGAAACCGAATCTATTAGGTACGAAAAAGGAATTTATGAACAGATTTGTAAATCCAATAACAAACGGTCAATTTGACAATTCCACGGAATACGACGTCAAATTAATGAAGAAACGCGCGCACGTACTGCACAAAATGTTAGAGGGCAGTGTGCAAAGATTCGATTATTCTGTGCTTACGCCGTTTTTACCTCCTAAGCAGGAATACGTTATTTTTGTCAGACTGACAGATCCGCAAATAAACATGTATCGATTTTATTTGGATAATTTCGCAAGGTATTATAGCCACAGAAATTTCACATCTTATATTTTTTCTACTCAAGTATCTCTTAAGATATTGTGATTATTTTTCATTTACAAATACATTTGGATACTCTTGTTTTTTTTTGTTTTTTTAGAAAAAACAAAAATTCTGGTGCAGGAGGAACTCTCTTTGCGGACTTTCAGGCGTTACAAAGGATTTGGACGCATCCTATAGTGTTGCGTTTGAACGCGGAGAAAGTAGAAAAGAAAAGAATGCGCGAGTCGGAAAACGATTCGGAAGGTTCGCTGAAAGATTTTATCAACGATGACACTACCGATGTTGACAGCAGCAGCGATTCGAGCAGCGACAGCGAAGTTCAAGCTCTTGATGATGTGAAAAAGAACGTCAAACGTAGAACAAGAAATAATCCTGACGGTAAGTTTTCACAACAAGAAGAAGAAATGCACTTAAATTATATAAATTAATAAATAAGATATTCATTAATTAATGAGATGATAAAAATATCAAACTAATAAACAAAATTGACTTTTAGTAGAGGAACCGGAAGAAGAGGTTAAAGAAGAGCCCGAGGAAGAGAGAGCAGAATGGTGGACAACGTTTGTGGAACCTGAGCATTTTGAAGATCTAAAAGTGTCCTCCAAACTGTTACTTCTTTTCGGAATTTTAAAGGAATGCGAACAGATCGGCGATAAAGTGTATGTGTTTAGTGTGTGATTGGAATAAATAACCAGATTCGTTTAATCGATTGTTTATTATTCGACAGGCTCGTGTTCTCGCAGTCTCTGTACTCTCTCACTTTAATCGAGGAGTTTCTCAGAAGAATAGACGATCAAACTCAGAACAATACATCTCTGGACACGCTGGATAATCATACTGGAAGCTGGTCTTTGGGCCTGGATTACTTTCGCCTGGACGGTCAGACATCGGCTGAAAATCGAAGCAGGTGGTGCAAAATATTCAACAGGCCCACCAATACGAGAGCGAGGTTGTTCCTTATATCAACACGCGCGGGAGGACTGGGAATAAACTTGACCGCGGCGAACAGAGTGATTATATTCGACGCCAGTTGGAATCCTTCCCATGACGTACAGAGTATATTCCGCATATACAGGTACCTTCCTTTGACATTTCCGATTGTTGAGTGTAAATTGATCGTACGTTGTGCTTATCGATATACATGATTTAATTGTCGTTTAGGTTCGGTCAGAAGAAGCCGTGTTACGTGTACCGGTTTCTCGCGGCGGGAACAATGGAGGAAAAAATTTACAATCGTCAGGTGACGAAGCTCTCGCTCTCGTGCCGAGTTGTGGACGAGCAGCAGATCGAACGGCATTACAGCAATCAAAATCTAAACGAGTTGTACATGTTCGAGGCGTATCAGGATAACAAGGACAAACCCACGTTAAATCTCCCTAAGGATAGACTCTTGGCAGAGATATTCTTAAAGTACAAAGATGTCGTGGAGAATTACCACGAGCACGATTCTTTGTTGGAGAACAAGGTAAAAATTATTTCCTCATGTTGAAAATTAAGTTTTCGTATATTTACGAAAACTTAATTTACGTGATATGTTTAAATTTACACTTACAACAGGCTGAAGAAGAATTGGACGAGGAGGAACGAAAACAGGCTTGGTTGGAATACGAAGAGGAGAAGAAGGGAAAACCACCGCCTATGATGAATGCTCAGGCCAACAACTTATTGATGCAATATAACGCAATGATGAGCGCTGGACAGGCCGGCATGCTTCTTCAAAATAGGCAATCGAACTCGGAGTTGGAGGATATTTTTAAAATTATTCGTAACGATGTAGGAAATTTTGAACCCATAATTAAAGTGCATATATTTATTACAGATTTAGAAAATTTTTAATAAAGAATATTTATAATTTTGGACTGTTTTAGTATCCTAATTTGACACCGCATCAACAGAGGCTAATGGCAAGTCAAGTTTTAATAGACATGTATAATTATTGGGAGAAACAAGCTGCATTGTCTGTGAGAAACCCTCAAGGAAATTTGCAGGTGACAATTTATTTTGCATGTTTTTAAGTTACTTTTTTATTAAAGAATCTATTCCGGCTCTGTAGTTNCTAAACTAATAAATATATATTCGGTCATTGGAGCCATTCACTAGGTGTTGTGCGGAAATTATACGTGTATATATGTCCATATATACGTGTTCACATGTAA